TAAAAAAAGATGATAACAAATAAATAAACTCTTCGCCCACGCGAACAAGTGCGGGGCTTACCAGCAACTATCAACTCGTATACTCTAATTAACGAAATCATCGCCCGCGTCAACTGCTGTCTCTGTAAAAAATAGCGGGGAGTGAGTCGCTAGCTCAGTGAGTAGTAACACTTAACCACAACCTTTTTTAATTAGGGACAAGTCAGAAAATATGCCTCTATAATAATAATCAGTAAAAAAAATAAAAATAAAATGCCCTCAGTAATACGGCAAATATAATCAGTCTATTCATGTGTTTCCTCTAATAGAAATCAATTTAACAAGTCGCTAATAAACTCGGTAAATACTATATCATAGCAAATCTTTATATTTGGGAGGTTTCCAAGAAAGGATCATGTAATCTGTATCACCGTGTGGGCCCTTTCGTAAAAGGAGTCAAATATAACTTGTAGGTCCCTACTCGAGGGAAATCTGTAACTGTATGCTAGTTCTACCTTCCCACTAGCGAAGGCTATAACTGTAATCGGTAATCTGCAAAAATACAAGGTGCACCAGGTCTAACGAACCCGCCGTTAGCTAAGGGATCCTTCAAAGTCTCGTCCCATTTATACTCTTTCTTGTAAACAGTCAATACTCGTATGAAAGCATTTTCAAAATAGTATAGGGCATTTCAATTCTTTTCGAATCACGTAATTCAATTTCGGTAACGGTAATCATATCTCTAGTAACAGAAAACATATCTCGTAACAGTGAGAACATTTTAAATAACTGTAAATATCTCAAGTAAAGGACTTGTCCCACATGCAATTTCAAATATTCGATAACACATTTTATTTTCAAAATAATGTATAAACCATGTTGGTTATGAAAACATAAATTGTGGTAAGATTACTACTCACAGTACTCGTGCCGAGATATCAAACTTGTCTCTGCGAGTACTTCGTTCGACTTCTTCAACTACCTATATCGTTACAAAACCAATCTATGTATACTCCATGAGTACCAATATAGTCCGTTAAATTTTGTTGAACTTAATTCTTTCCCTGTTTTCATTCCACGGGATATGACTTTTTTTTTTTTGCGAATAAACTAGTATACCCAACTCTCAGGATATCTTGTTTAATTCTCAAATAACCTAAACTAGTCCAGTATCTTCTTAAAAAGTGTCCATATAGTTTATTTGCTATAATGTTAAAAAAGAAGAAAAAAAATTCTTTTCCTTTGATATTTAGAGGAACAAGGGCCAGCAAAACTATAGATAAGAACTTACATTGCTCGAGTCAAAAGAGATGCGCTAAAACTTCTAAGCTTCTTTTACTTCTCTGTTTTTATGCCACTGTAATGCTAATAAGGCTATTTCTCGTAAGTTGCATTTAATTCTAACTCTTTGTCCTTTCCAAAGCATCAAAACATAGCTTTTCTCTCCTCCCCCTCCCCTCCCCCCCCCCCTCCCCCCCGGATCTTCCTTTCTACTTTGTTGTTTTCCCCTTTTTTCCTTTTTGCAAGTCTTTGTGATGCTAATGTTAGACAACATTGCAACAGGGCTTTTTCCCGAGTCTATTCTTTCTTTATGTGTTGGCAAACTTTGAAAAAATCCCTTACGATTGTTTAAACTTCTAATCTGCCGAAACTTTATTGTTTCTACCCCTCCCCTTAAACCCATTTTTGCTTCATTCGTTATTTCTTTCTAATGGGATTTAGCCCATAAATATGTCAAAATAGCACGGTATAGCCAGTTTTCGGACTGGTCTTTCAAAAATAGCCAGCGTTTACCAAGTCAATGAAAAATAGCCACTATTTTGCTGCAGCAGAGACCGGTCCAGCATAATATACTGGTGTTCGGTGCACCTGTGTATGAGCTCCAGCATATTATGCTGGACTGGTATACTTTGCTGGCTCCAGTATATTACGCTGGACCGGTATATTTGCTGGAACTCCAGTATATTATGCTGGAGTTCTAGTGTACTTATGCTGGAACTCCATCATATTATGCTGGAGTTCTAGCATACTTATCTTGGAACTCCAGTATAATATGCTGGAGTTCAAGTATAGTTATGCTGGAACTCCAGCATAATATACTGGCGTATTTTTCCGGGTTTTGAACAGTGTTTTCGCTCAGATTTATCTTTACATGAAAAGTGGCTAAATTTCGATTACTTTTGAAACTGAGCTATTTTTGAACGACCAGTTGTAAGTCTGGCTATTTTTGAATTTCTCCCCATAAATATTCCTATTGTTTATTATACTTTTTTTTATGGGCTAAAGACTTAATTGTCCTTATTACAATATAACTATATTATAAGGTACTATTGCACAACCACACTTCACTATTATTTGGTGCAAGTTTGGTCTTTACCAAAGAAGATTTGCCCTGTAACTCAACCATACACATATAATTGACAATACAATATTTGCAATAAAGGTAAATGTAAAGATTTAATTGTCCTTATTACTATATAAGGTATTACAACAATGAAAACCCAGATTCTACTGGGAACTTTATATTAAAAAAAAAAGAAAGTCAATAATTCCGTGTAAAAAAAAATGACTAATGATTTGGTATTGAAAAAAAGTCGATCATAATGGATTTGGTTTAGTATTAAAAGAACCAAATCGAGACCACAACAAGTCGACATTATGTACCTACATTCTTTAAAATTATTTGTACAAAAAAATATTTATGATAATGTAAAACTTTGCCATAGGTGTTGTTCTAGATTTGGACTTAACAATATTGGCCCACTGCCCATATACGTCATGAGCCCAAACCAAAACCAAATTCACACCCCTAAATTGTAAACGAAAGAAGCAAGTTATTCTATCTTGGAAAGCAACGAAATCCTCTTTTGCATTACCAACAAATTAACAAAACATGATCCAAAATCAAAATATGTACATCTTTCTTGACTGCCATGCACTTTTTTCTCGAATTGGAGATTGCAGCTCTTTTCTTCCATTCTGATCTTCGGATTATAAATTAACTTGATCGTCATTTATGAAACAGTACTATGCTGATTATCGTAACTAGAAACATAAAGCAGAAAATTAACGCTGACCTTCTAGCTCATGCATCTAATCTAAACTGTAAATAAGTTAATTAATGATCTTAGAATAATGAATTTTTTGAAATTTATAGGTCATAGGTACCAAGGTAGCAGAAACTAACAATCATATATATTCTCTGAACACTTGGTTAAATGAATACGCAAACACAACCAAACAATAGAAGACTTTTTGTCCTTTGCTTTTAATTTATATACATACTAGTACGTACGTACATATATTTTATATTTACATAATTACACACACACACATATATGTATTGTCCTGTGTGATCTTAGAAGCCCAAAAAAAGGAAAGAAAAAAAAAAGGTCAAAGTAATAGATATATTGAATTCTAAAACTTTAATAGGTGAAGAAGAGGAGAACGCCTTCTGTTGGTTTAATATCTTTTTTGTTTTTCTTTTGCATTATGTAGGACATGAACTGCATGCTCTAACTAGGATATTTGTGTTCTAGATCATAGAAACAAACTACTTTTTTTTTATCATTGAGGGCAAAATATATAATTATTAGCTATTTTTACTTGGTGCGCTCTATTACTCCTTTATAAATTACAAGATAAGCTTGTTAGCAGGCAGTGTTAGTGTAAAAATAAGAACTTCCAGGTTGTTGTTGTTGTTGAGATGAATGAATTGTCCTCTCGCGTAACCAACTTAGTCATAACTTTAATTAATTTTAAATTTGATAATTGTATTCTGATGTCAATGAAGCTTTAGACTAAAATCTAAATCATATATTTCAGATTATTAATTTATATTCTTTTTATCTTGGGAAGTAGCTATCATATCTAATTTCTCAACCTAATCTTCATTTTCCCCCGATCCTCCTCATTTTCATGACTATTTCAAATGGACAGCTGATGTAAGTCCCATGTTAATAAGATTTGGTCTTTGTAGTTGTTCAAGGAAACTTCAATTTAATATTCAAGTGTTCAAAAAATTTACGCATTGATGACTTGTTTAGAGGAAATTGAAGACCAATTCAAACAAATATTCATCTATAAATACGAAATGTTTTCTTGTTATGTTTGTCAAAAACAAAGATCATTTGAATTATTTCATAAGATAGTTAATTTATATAGCAGCAATGGCTCTCAATTCATTTGCGTTAACCATTACCATAATGGCTGTGCTATCTTCAATAAGTCATGCATTTGATCCTAGTCCTTTGCAAGATATTTGTGTTGCTGTTGATGACGCCAAAGCTGCTGGTAAAATATAAAATTACTTTGAATGCCAAATTACAATCATGATCTTCACAAATTTTAATTAAGTTTTTTGTACTTTAGCCTATCCCTTTTTGGTAGAAATGACATCAAGTAGCTATTCTAAAGGACCGCTATTTAGAGATTAGCCAATGTGTTTTGAATGTCAGTTTTTCAGTTCAATTTTTTAGGACACAAAGTATTTTTACTCTAAACTTTCAGGACAAAATAAGTACTGGCTAATCCCTGAATATCAGTCCTCCCCCCCTCTTTTGTTACCTTTTTTTTTTTTTTTATTAAAGCTTGTTTTTGCAGTTTTTGTGAACGGAAAAATTTGCAAGGATCCAAAGAAGGTTGTGGCAAATGATTACCGACGCAAGTTGCCGACGGATTTCTGTCGGTAACAAAGCTTTACCGACGGAAATCCGTCGGTAAGTGGTTGGTAGGTAAATCCTTCCTCGGTAAAATGTACCGACAGAATCCGTCGGTAAGTACCGACGGACCCCATCGGGAAGCCATCGGTACATTGCTGATAGGATTTGGTCAAATAATTTTACTTACCGACGGATATCCGTCGGTATATTATAAAATAATATAATAATAATAATATCAATACCGACGAATATCCGTCGGTACATTAAAAATAATAATTTAATAATACCGACGGACACCATCGGTAAGTTTAGAATTTTGATTTAGTAATATAAAAATAAAAATATGAATAAATTCATATTCCGATGGCTATCCGTCGGTATTTTCAACAAAATCTGAAAATTTGGTTCAAGAATACCGACGGACTCTGTCGGTAAGTCCCTCGATAATTCTGGTACATTTTTGGCAGGTACTGCCTATATTTGGTTGCACCACCTGCCAACAGAATATTACAATACAAACTAAAATGCAACCACACAAAAACTCAACTTAACAACAAAAAACTTTATAAACTATATCCAAATTATCCCTTCAAGCATCCAAATATCCAAATTATCCCATCAATCATCAAAACTATCCAAAACATCAAAACGTAACATTCAAAGTTAACATCCAACTAAGCAACAATCCAACCAAACATAAAATCACTCATCTTCGGGTTCCCCCTCTTCTTCTTTATAATTTGTATTATTTCCATCACTTTCATCCTCTTCATAAATGTGGCTTTTTGGCGGAGAGCGGGGCAAGCCGATTAAGTGGTTCACTTGAGCCTTGAGGGAGTCAATGTCATTCCTAAGTGTGTCTCTAATCTTCTCTTCATGCTTTCTTTTTTCTCGTTCATCCGCACAATTCCTAGAAAGTTGTTGAATTGTTCGCCGCATCTCCTCAAGCTCCTCATTTTGCACGGTGGCGGATGTCCCGATATCTTGTAATCCACAAAAGAGAAGTGGAAAAAATACACACAGAGTTAGAATTGAATAATTCAACACCTATCAGTGAGGTGCAAAGACCTAAAGTGGACATAAGCCTCTGAACTTAATACGGAAACAAAAATTCCCAAGTCAAACCTCAATTTTTCTCAAACAATCTTATGTAAACTCATTTGACAAGGCGCCAGTTGTACAAAATATAAGCAGATTAAGTTTTCTAACTTTTTATTCTTATGGGAGGAGACAGATGAACTTTCTACACCATTTGGTCAATGAAAGTATAGTTTTACATCATATATTAAGTATCAGTCTTTTGTTTCTTATTAGGCTGATATGATGAGTTCCTTTTGAATATTTCCTCAAAAGGAAGCAATATCATTTAAGCTATGACATTTCAATTAGTTTTTGGAAAATTTAACTCAGAAACAACGAAAAGTCAGTCTTGGAATTTAAACTATTGTGGTCTTTGTGAAACAAGAGGTTCTCTTACATGAAATATTTTGCTTCTGTCTAGCCGAGATGGAAAAGTGACTAATTTATTTTCTTCTAGCATTTATGTTTAACAAAATGAAGAAAATAAAAGTTGATTATATTCTTTATCTTTCCTTCATTATTTTTATTTTTTCATGTCTATTTTCTCTATAGTTTTCCTTTCCATCCCTTAACTTGCTAGTTGGTAATTGAGAAAGGTTATGTTTAATTCATTTTTTATTCCCACTTTACATTTGACATTAAAGGCCAGAGATTGGTGAATATAGCATCGGCAGTACATCTCTGACCCTAACTAAAACAACTAAATATAATAATCAAAATGTCATGTTGTTTTTCTTTTTTCTAATCACCACAAGTTTATCAAATCTTTAAAGGCATGGATTCCCCTAGTATATGTATCAGTAACAACTGCGAAAGATTATGAAACAAATTACTCTATATTATTTAACACTATCTGGGGGAAAGACAGGAAATGATTAAAAATTTAGGAGATAACTTATGTGACATCTGAACTATCGAAATTCTTTAATGTTACCAGCATGAGCTGCTCCAATGATAATTGCTTGTGAGATCCTCTTGATCCAACTGTAAAGCACAATACCTGTACAGTCAAATCTCTAGTAACACATATATAAAATAAATTTAATTATCATCCATTTACTGCATTCAGTGCCCAAGCATCATACTCAACAAGCTAATAATTACTACTACTAATTTAGTTATAACAATAGCATTGCAGTATTCTGTAAAATCTGCTAATTCATAAACTTCTCTAGAATTCAGTGAAGCAAAGTATTTGCAACATGTTAAAGAGCGATTATCAGGAGAAGCTCCTAATGTTAAATCAATTTATTGCCTTCGCCACTGCAATGATAGAAACATAGTCGAAACAGAAGACATATATTGTCTTCCTGTTGCATCACACCAAACATAAACAAATAGTTGTATCCCTCCTCTAATAGTTTGAACTTTTAGATGATGTGCTCCCACACTAACATGGTAAAACAGTCCCGAGTTCAAGTCTCACCAACCCTCATTATCAAAAAGAATTTTCACTGAATACATCCCTTCTCTAACAGCGTAAACAGAAACTTGAGCACGACAACTTCTCTTTGTTATAAGCTTTTCATCAGAAATAATTGTTTATCATGGACCATAAGTAGATATATATAACTAGTGCATAAGAAATATCATATCAACGAAATGTTCTGTCACCTTCGAAGTAGTTGTAGCTTTCACCAATGAAAAAGAATGGTCCAAAATTTGGTGGGGGTTTGAAAGTCTGATTGCTAAGTTCAAATCCGATTGTGGTAATCCCTGTACGGTTGAAACCATCTTGGCCAAATGGAAAAACTTGCAGGTGTAATACAAGGTAGTCATCTGAATTCTTTTTCGGATTGCTCAAGGAAACTGAATCTACTAGCACCTGATGTCGGCTAAAAGAAGATATCATAGACTGTTGAAGTGACACATAAACACTTGTGTTTCTCAAATCAGAAAAGGAAGGAGCTCTGAAATATAGGTCGGGAATTTGATCAGAACTGCATTGAGTTCTGAAGCAATTATCTTATGGGGTTGAATATCCAAAGTTCTCTTGGGGGTTGCCACAATAGTTTTCTGATCCTCCTTCTTGACAAACTGGATTATGCATAAGTCTGCCAAGTGAACAAGTCGAAAACCGAGATTGTTAAAACTATAAAATGGGATTCAGAAGAATCAATTGTCAACAGGAGTTATCCAGTATTTCTCTTCTCATAGCTAAAGTGAAGAAAAAGTGGCTTGAGGGCAGCTTACATTATTTGAAAACGATATCCAGGTCTTTCTGTAAATGAATCGATGTAATTGTTCTGTAAATCAATCAATTTTAACTGGCTTCCATAGTTGGACGCAATATCCAAGGTTACATTGATTTTGTTTCCCCTCAAGATGCTGTCATAAGGAACCACCTCATGGACATAAAATTGAAATGCAAATTATAGAATCATATACTAAATCACTTCATGTTCCTTAAAAACTTTGTTACATTACTATTACATAGCGGGAAAAGAGAATAGTTGCAAGACATGCACCATGGACTAAAGGTAAAAGGACACTCACACTGTCTGCAATTGAAAAAGGTTGAAGAGGGTTGCCGGAATTTCTCCTTGTAGTTGAGTGTTTTCCATTACCCTGTGAGCAGTTTAATTTATGAAGTGCATAACAAATTTTATGAACCAACTCCATTAGGAAAAAACAGACGCTCATAACAACAACAACAACTACCCAGTAAAATCTCACAAAGTGGGGTCTGGGGAGGGTAATGTGTACGCAGACCTTGCCCCTACCCCGATAGGGCAGAGAGGCTGTTTCCGATAGACCCTCGGCTCAGAAAGACGGAAATAAAAAACAAGAAAAGACAATTCATTAGTAACTCCATTAGAAACCGTAATAGTAACAGAAGCAAAACAACCAAAAGATGAATGACATGCAATAACAGTAACCAGAACCTAAGGTCCGGGGCTAAGATAAACAACAAGGATAGTGTGGATTCAACATGAACTGCAAGCCATCTAAGATCAACCCTAATCCAACCCCGCCTCACCCCCGGTATGAAGTAAGGAAAGCTCTACTACCCCCTAACCTACAACCCTAATGCTTGACCTCAAGACCTTCCTATCAAGGGCCATGTCCTCGGAAATCTGCAGTCGTACCATGTCCTGCCTGATCACCTCTTCCCAATACTTCTTAGGCCTCCCTCTACCTCTTCTCGTACCCACCACGGCCAACCGCTCACACCTCCTCACCGGGGCATCAAGGCTTCTCCTCTGCACGTGTATGGATGTGAATTCTGCGGGGCCACATGCACTTGGTGTCGGAGACAGATACACACATGCATGTATATAGAGAGAGAGAGAAGTGTACAGAGTCGTCAATGACTGTAAGGTTGAAAACCACAGTGGAAAATCAGCTGAGCTAAATGTACTCATATCTCTGCAAAACATGATCATAGGACACCAGTGAATATTAATATGAATACATAATCTGTAGCGTGACAACATGAAGATTGATGTATTCTCTTAGCAGAGTAGAGTTTCAATCAAAACACCAGTACTCCCAAGGCATTGTAAGTCAAGGAACTTACAAGTAGTTGAGGGCATTCATGCCAGTGAGATCAGGCAAGGGGCCAGTGAATTCATTGTTTGATAAGAAGCTGCAAGTCATATGGAAAATTTATAGTGGGTTTGATACACTCATAAAAAAGGGGATCATACCAAAGTTATATTAGCATGTCACTTGTCTACTCACAGTTCACTCGTACGCGTGAGATTATTGAGGGTTGATGGAATCGATCCATCTAATGAATTCCTGTCAAGACGACTACAGCGTACATGGATATCCAGTTAATAAATTTTCCCAAGTAATGAAAAGCAAGAAAGATGTTAAAATTATTTAAGAGCGTGATGGATTCTGGAAATACTTACACCACCTCCAGAGTCTTCACAAGTCCTAATGTAGGGGGTATTTTTCCAGTAAGCTGGTTATGCTCAAGCAGCCTGTGCAATTACCAAACACAAACAGAAGAAACCATTAGCCAAACGTAAGTAGTTTGCTACAAGTGTCAGCGCTAGCACCGTAGCATAGGGCTGGGACAATAATGTGTATGGAAGACAATAGGATTTTTATAAAATTAGGGAAAGGAGTTTACAAGTTTAAGATAGCTGCTGAAGTATTCACAAAGCTATATGAAAAATGAAATCCAAAACCATAAGAAGGAATCTGTGGTCCCTGCCCTTGCCATTAGCTAGGGTAGAACACTATCCCTTTCTTTTGTGCATGTGTGCATGGTTGCACACTCACATTTCTAATCATAGTTTTGAGATTACCAAGCACCTTTTGTTATATGTGTGGTTGAACATTGTAGATTGAGAAATGTTTAAAGACAGAAAGACTTCAAATCTTGAGAAAGGAAAAGAAAGAGGAAATAATTGGATAGAAATAAAGCTAACACATGCTCACAATTATTTTGACAACAACGAAAAGAGAGCTTGGATAGTACATAAATGAGGAAGGTAGTTAGTAAGTGATTGTGGGACAAGAAAGTTATAGAAAAATGACAAAGAGAGTGTTCAATAACAGAGGAATGAAAAATGAAACCAAGTGAAAAATCAATATGTTGAAAGATTGAGGAGATCAAAGCTAAGTTTATCTTATAGGCTTGATTGGTGCGAGCACTCGAAGACAAGAAATATGTAAGCATTATCACATTTTAAACAATACATGATAGGTTGTGTTTACATTAGATTAAGATTTTGCTTGCCTTCAGTAATGATGAATGATAAGTTATTAGATCACACCTAATACTGAGAAAGATTTCTCCACCATGAATTTAGAATTGATACAACATTTTCCATTTATAGACCAATGTGGGACTCTAATACACCCCCCCCCCCCCCCCCTCCCCCTCCTCCGGCATGACCATGGCCGGACACTTTGAGCATGGATACCATAACATAGGAGCCCAACACTGGGTAACACAACAATAAAGATGAGTATGATTCTGATACGATGAAAGGAAAATGGATGTTGGGCCCTAACTCAACTTCATAGATAGCTCAAGAGGTGGGGGTTGTCTAAGATTATACAACAGCCCGTACATTTGACCAATGTGGAACTCTGACAAATTGTTGTATCTTTTCTAATTTCAGGGAGGGAGAAATCTGTCTCAAGCACCAGGGACATATCTATGCTATTTCACCAGATACAAAAGACAAATGCATACTCTCTATCCACTTGCCTTTTCTAAGAAAAAAGAAAATAGGTCAACGAGAAGGTTCCAACATAACTTCATCAGTCAACACATGTGTGGCTACACTATTGTTGATCGATCGAATAATTTTCAAATTATATACACTTTCAGTTCAGAGGAACTTACAAATGTTTGAGAGTCATATTTGAGCTGAATAGCTGAGCTGGAATCTCACCTGAGAGCTGATTTTTCCCCAGGTGACTGCAAGGTAAGTGGTATGTCAGATGAAAACGAGAGACAAAAGTTATTACTTAAGAAACAGACAGTATTACTCACAAATGCTTTGTATGCACAAGCATGTCCAGACCAGGTGTGTTTCCATGGGAGACTGGAAGAGGTCCATTGAGCCTATTATCAGCTAAGTCCAGCCAATATAACTTTGATAAATTACCAATAGAAGCTGGTATTGCTCCAATAAAGTTGTTAGAATTCAAAGATCTGCATGTTTCAGATTAGTGTTTTAGAAATGTAGCCCAGAAGAAGAAACAGGAGAAGATTTAGAGAACATGTTACTCTACTTAGAGTACTACATGTCTAAGATTGCATTGATTATGCAAAGGGATATAAGAATTAATACAACAACAATTACCGCCACTGTCACAAACGAGTTGGGGTCGGCTATATGAATGCTCACTGACCATTTTACTCCATTTAAACTCATCTCAAGCCAATATTATACAAAATAAAAAGTACTAGAAGAATTTTATATTTTCTGCTGACGTATAAATCTCTAAACTGTAAGCATCCAAAACTCAATTTAGGCAGCGGATGTGATATTATAGGTACTAAAATGTCAGCATATTCTGCATAATCTCAATAATCTGAATTCATTAAGCACTGAGCTTATAGACATTTGTAATAAGCAAGTTAATTCCATGAAGATCACTCAAATGATCAATTTGTGGGAACAAAACAATCCAATTCATGTAATCAATTCTGACATAGTTTTTAGATCCATTATTATAATCGGAGTAGAGGATTATGAATGTTAATTCACCATCATTCCTTTTTTTTTTTTCCAATTCAAGCAAGTCATATAAATAAGACTGACACAGGATACATTCCATATAGTTGGTAAACTTTGTAATTATAACAAATTTGATATCCTTACAGAAAAACCAGCTGACTAAGGGATCCAACTGTGTCCGGTGTCAGTCCATTAAATCCACAACCAACAAGGATCCTGCGACGTAGCTAAGATCAATTACTCATTAAAAATATGAAATACAGAATATCAGCTGGTGAATTAACATTTTTTGTATTATCATGTAATTCCCTTACAGAATTGATAAGCTCTTCAAACTTCCAATTGATTGTGGGAGTGAACATGTCAAGCCTTTGTTGTATGATAGATCCCTATAAGAGGAAGCAGATAATTAGAACAGAATCTAAAAGCTTTCAACAGGCAAGGATATTTCTATGCATGCATGAGCACAGCACATTGGGGAAAAATAGCAATGTATATACAATACTTCCTCTGTCCCAATTTATGTGATGAACTTTCCTTTTTAGTCGGTTCCGAAAAAATTGATACCTTTTTATATTTAGAAATAATTTAACTTCAAACTTCTCATTTTACTCTTAGTGAGATCATTCATAACCGCACATAATATATATGGCTTGTTTCAGACTACAAGTTCCAAAAACCTTTCCTTCTTTCTTAAACTTTGTATCCTGTCCTAATACTCTCTTTTTGTAATTTCCGAGTATTTAGATTAGTCTGATTTAACCTCAAAATTTGGTTAAGTTAACTATCAATAAGCAAAGAGTGTCAAACAAATTGAGATAACATTTCAAATTTCGCTCACTAAATTATTAAAGTACTTGTAGCTCAGGGAAACGAAACTAGGAGTTAAAACTAAATTGATCCATAAAAAGTTGATTTTTACCACTTATTTAGTTAGTACCAAGTAAAGGTTCAGATGATTCTTAAATTTTAATCAACTAATATGATTAATGCGGCGAGGACTCTCAATTATGAGTAGAAGACATACAGTATCTGCAATTCAGACAAGGCCTCGATGTCTCCAGACAGCTGCCCTTTCAGATTCATGCTTGATAATTTTCTGAAATTTCATAGCCCGTTCAAAAATCAGCTTATTTTGATAAGTGTTTTTTTTCAAAAGTGCTTTTCTCAAAAGTACTTTCTGTGAGAAGCAGTTTGTGTTTGGCTAATTAGTTTGAAAAGCACTTCTGAGCAGCAATTAGTGTTTGGCCAAGCTTTAAAAAACTGCTTTTAAGTGTATTTTTCTCAAAACTATTTTTTTCTGTTTCTCCGAAACTGCTTCTGCTTCTCCTCAAAAGCACTTTTTTTCATTCCAAAAGCTTGGCCAAACACCTCAATTTTTAGCTAAAAAGAAACTTGGTCAACCAGGCTATGAATGATTAGTACCTCAAACTTAAATACAACACACTTTAATATGTTGGAAAGCCTCAAATTGCAAAAAGAAGTAAACTTTACGTTAGATATGCGTCATATAATAAAATAAGATTTGATTTTGGCCTAGTTTCATCAGATAAATTATTAAAATAAATACTCCATCCGTCCCAAATTAACAGTCATTTTAGCTCAAAAAATTGGAAGAAGTTGGTAATTAGCCATTTTAACCCTTCTATTAGAGTTTAGCCGGTTATATAAAAAACTATATTAAACTTTAGCCACTCGTTTCATGCACGGAAATATTTTGGACGACAATACCCCCAACTGAACTACGGAATAACTCCATTAATTGGTGCTGAATTTTGAATATGACAACAACAATAACAACAAACTCAGTGTAACTTTACAAGTGGGGTATGAGGAGGGTAGTGTGTACGAAGACCTTACTCCTACCTTTGAGAAGGCAGAGAGCTTGTTTACGGTAGACCCTCGGCTAGGAAAGGTAAAAGGAAGGGCAACAACAAGCACACCAATCAGAAAACAAAAGCAAAAATACAAAACTAACACTAGGTACCGCAATTAGAAAGCCGAACGAAATCAACAACAAGTAGTAACAGAAGTCAATGAATACGAAAAATACACAAATGACACTAAGTCATGTATTAAAGCTACTGTTACAGACAAGGACAACACTCGGCTACCTATCCTAACCCTTTACCTTTTTTCTCAACCTTCATACCTTCCAAGCCATGGTCATGTCTCAGTCAGCTGGAGCAACGCTATATCTTGCCTAATCACCTCTCCTCAATACTTCTTCGGCCTATCTCTACCTCTCCTTAGGCTCTCCAGGGCCAACCTTTCACACCTTCTCACCGGTACATCGGTACATGTCCTCTTCACATGTCTGAACCATCTAAGTCTCGCCTCCCGCATCTTGTCCTCTGCAGGGGTCATGCCCACCTTGTCCCTAATAACTCAATTTCTTATCTAACATGGTATGCCCACACATCCATCTCAACATCCTCATTTTGAATATATAAGTTCAAAATTTCAAGAACAATCCTGGAGTTTAACATTAAACCCCAATATCATATGCTAGAGTTCGAAACTTTAACAGGTAAAACCTCAGCATACGATACTGGAGTTTAAAACTTTTAAAGGTAAACTCTAGCATACATTGTTGGAGTTCGAACCTTCTTCTTCAATTTCCATGTATGCAGTCAAATACATATTATGTGGAAGAATATTGTACCTTTCCTACTATTCTTTATATATATTCCGGGTGATATTCACAAATGGTCATATAACTATGACTTTTTTTCACCAAAGTTATATAACTTTATTTTCTCACACAAAAATCATAAAACTTTCACCCCACAAAAATCATAGTGACCAAAAAATATAATTTTTCGGTAGTACTTTCTTATTACACTTTTTTATTATTTATTTTTTGTCTAATAAATAATAACTCAATTAAAATAGGAGAAATACGTATTTTTAGCCGCTGCATGCAAAATAAACATTCGATATTATATATATATATATATTATAATATATATATATATATATATATATATATATATATATATATATATATATATATAATATATGTGTGTGTGTGTGGTGTGTGTGTGTGTGTGTGTTGTGTGTTTATTTTATATATATATATAATATACGTATTCTATTTTTTTTGCTAGCGAATGCAATTAATTTCGGTACCAGTTAATTTTGTGTTTTTCCCTTAAAATACGAATGACTTAACCCAACCTACCCAATACCTATATATATAAATTAAAATAATACTAAAAGTGAATCGTTCCCCCACAAAAAACTTAGTTTGGAATGCATGAGATTCTGATAAAAAAAAAGAGGTATAATTAGAGAGCACTTGAAACAAAAATACTATCGATTTGAATGAAAATCTTAAAAAGGAAATAAAAGTCAGACGTATCGTTTTTTAATGTGAAGGATTCAGTTTTAGTATTTTTCTAATTTATATATGAGTTTTGGGTCGGGTGGGTCAGGCCGGGTAGAGTCATTCCTAATTAAATTGGATTATTACTTATTAGACTGAAAATAAAAAATAAAAAATTGTGGATAATAAAATACTACTGAAAATTATTTTTTTCGGTCTACAATTTTTGTGCACGTTAGTGAAAGTTTTATGATTTTTGAGTGAGAAAATAAAGTTACATGACTTTGGTTAAAAGAATCATAGTTATATAACGATTTGTGAAATTTACTCATATATTCCTTGTTCTCTTGGTAACCATGAAAGGCATTAACCTTCAGTTATGCTTGCCAACATACACACAGCCACCACCTACTGGTGTATCAGATGTGAGAGAGTTATTTGTTATCAAGAATCAGTTTCAACTACTCATTTGTTACGTTTGGTGGATTAACTTAGAGGAGAGGTCAATTGTTCTTTAAAATTTGAAGGTTTCAAAATACCATATTGTTGAGAGGTTAAGGCACTGTGAGAGTTAGGAAAACTGTTAGGAGTTAGTTAATTAGTTAGAAGTACAGCTGTCAACAACTGTTAGATTATTTACTGAAGAGTAGTCAGTAAATATTTTGTATATAAATAGATACAGTACATTACATATCAGAATAAGTAGCATATCAATTTCTCTCCTCTTCTTCCTCTACTTCATCTATGCTCTTCCATAGCTAAGCTTCTTCAACATGGTATCAGAGCTCGGCTCAACTCTAGCTAGCTCAACAATGGTGAACGAGTAAGAAGAGAATTCAATTGAGCTACCTTTTAACTCGAAATTTCTTCCATCTTCAATTTGAAGAAACAGTTCCTTCTTCTAGCTAGGGTTTGTTGATTTTTTAATAGATTCAACATTTTTTGGGTCTCTACAATAAATTTGGGTGAGTAATTTCTCCGATTCGAAATTAAAGTGTTAAAATGACGATTAATAAAAATGAGTCCGTTGCGACTACTGTTACATCACCATCATCAGACACTCAGAACCTTGATATAGTTCATCACAATCATCCTTTGTATATTCATCCTTACAATACTCAAGGTGCAGTACTTATCTCAATTCAACTTTGAGGTTAGGAAAATTATTCTCTTTGGAGTAGATCTATGAAAATTGTATTGCATGGCAAAAATAAGTTAGGCTTTATGATAAGGACTTGTAGAAAGAAAATGTATGATACTAGTCTACATGAATTGTGGGATCGATGTAATGCTTTTGTTTTGGCGTGGATAATGAACATTGTTGCTCCAAATTTGCTGAGCATTATGCTCTGTGCTTCTGATGCACACAAGGTCTGTGAAGATCTTCGCGAAAGGTTTGATAATTTTAATGCCTCTACGTCCTTCTATCTGCACAAGGAAATTACAAAGTAAGATGCAAGGATAGTGTCTTCTATAAATACTATCCTTGGTCATAGCAAAATAAGGCAGTTAATAACAATTCCACTAAAAAGTGTGATGCTTCTCTGTGGCACAAGAGGTTAATATATGAAGGTTCTGCAGAAAAAAAGTAGTTTACATAGTGTTCCTAGGCAAGATCACTGTTGTACAGTTTGTCTTGTTGCTAAGCAATCTAGACTGCCATTTTTTAATAGTACTGCTTGTTTTGTTCATCCTTTTGCACTTGTACATGCCGATTTCTGGGACTATATAGAGTCCCAACTCATGATGGTAAAAGGTATTTCATGACACTGGTAGATGATTTTTCTAGGTATACCTGGCTCTTCTTAATGAACACTAAAACAGACTCTATCATAGTCTTAAAGTTGTTCTTAGGACTTGTTCAAACTCAGTTCAATCGCAAGATTAAGTGTTTCAGGTCTGAAAATGGCAGTGAGTTCTTCAATAAGCAGGTCAGCAATCTCTTAGTTAGTGATGGTATCATTCATTAGAGTTCATGTGTTTACACACCGGAATGGTAGGGTAGATAGGAAACACAACTACATTCTTAATATAGCCAGAGCCTTGAGATTTCAAGCATTTATTCCATTAAAGATCTGGGGTGAATATGTTACCACATCAATTTACCTATTGAATAGATTACCTACAGTATTGTTGAAAGGAGTCTCACCATTTGAAAAGTTATACAACAAGGTTCCTTCCTTACAATATTTAAGAGTGTTTGGTAGCTTGTGCTATGCCACCACTGTCAGAAAATTGGACAAGTTCTGTCACACAGTTGTTCCAACTGTTCATTTAGGTTATTCCTCTGTGCAGAAAGGCTACATTTTGTATGATCTCCATTTTAAAATGTTCGTCGTCAGCAGGGACACTATCTTTAAGGGAGACATTTTTCCTTTCAGACATATCACATCTATTTCCTCTCCTCTATTTCCCATTTTGGATTTTTCAGAAGTTGAGTGCTCTCCTATGATATCTAGTTCTAAACCCAAGCAAACTGCAGTTGAGTCCTTTGCTCTTGACACTAGTCAGCCTATTGCAAATTCTCCTGCACAGTTCAGGTCCTCAAGTATAGCTAATACTTCCCCACCACTCAGAAAGTCTTCTGGGACTTCTATTCCTCCTATATGGCTGAAGGATTACATTGTTCCTTCCAAATGAGCAACATGCAATTACTCTATCTCCAGTATATTTGTTATGATAGTCTATCTCATGCTTATCAGGCCTGCCTTGTTGCTTACTCAGTTGTGTCTGAGCCCATAACCTATACAGAAGCTAGTTCTGATCCTAAA